TCAGAGCAGGCACTGCTGAGGCATTTCAGCCACTGCCAAGCACCGCCGTACACCGGCAGCTCCCGTCTGGCACCGCGAGCCAGCAAAGGTCACATTCCCGGCCGCGGCCGCGCCGCGCTCCGACAAACCCGCTTTGTTCCCGGCGCGGCTCTAATTAGGAAATTGCGCTGATTTTTTTCTTTCCCACAGTTGAACTATCAAAACTTGGGTTTGTTCCCTGCCAAAGCCTCTTCCATCGCTGTGCTGGTGACTCAGCGTGACACCAGGGCACTGAAACTATGGAAGGGGGAAAGGGAAGGAGCCAGAGGCCGGTTCCCTGTGGGGCAGTCGGGGGGGATGGGCACTGTGAGCTTTGGGCGCAGAACAAAACACCCCAGTGGTCCCCCCAAGTGTGGGCAGCACCCTGATCTCTGGGATCAGGGAATAGGGCAAGCTCAGAGTGTGAATGATGAAGAGGAGAAGGAGGAGGATGAAAGATCCCCTCTAAACTGTGCCTGGTCCTGAGACAGGGATTGCCAAGGAGGGTGGGAGCTGAGGGCTGCTGGGAGGGGGCACTGACAGCCCCTGGGGGAGTGTGACCCCCGTGTGTGGTACCCAACCACAGCTCTGAGCCAAAAAAGCAATGGGACCCAGAGGAAAGGCCCACGATCCGTCACCTCCAGGGTTCTCAGTTCACTGCTTTGTTTTTCCAGGCATGTTTCAGGAAACATCCGAGGCAGCAGGGAATGACACGGTGTCGGGGGGTGCAGCCTTGTCAGGGTGTTCAGCTGTGTTAGAGTGTGCAGCTGTTTTGGGGCTGTGCAGCCGTTTTGGGGGTGGGTGTTCAGCCGTTTTGGGGGGGTGCTGGCAGACCCCCCTCCCCAGGCAGCGCTGCCATCCAGCTGTGTTGGCATAGAAACTGCCAGGGCTCTGCCAGCGCCTCCCGTTACACAATTCCCTCAAACCCCAGGGAAGGGGCTGCTGAGGAGGGGGGGCAGCTCCTGGGATGGCCTTTGCCCCAAACCAACTCCTGCCAGCTCCAGGCACAGGGAGGGGTGGGAGGCTGGGAAGGGGCCAACAGAGCCCCTGGGAGCAGTGCTGGTGCCCAGTGGCTCCGCTGCCTCCTGGACAACAGGGAATCAGAGTCTATTTAAAGGTGCTGCCGCTTGCATAACACTGGCTGTAATTCCTTCAGCCTCTTCCCCCGCTCCAGGGGCACTGGACGTTGGAGGAAGGGTCTGCGTGGGCAGCGGTCCTGGCCAGGCAGATCCCGTGGGATGGGGCAGCCGCTGGCAATGTCCCCCTTGGACAGGGCCTGTCCCTGTGGAGGGGAGTAGGGAATGGGCAGTGACAATCCCAGCACAACATCCCCCTTCCCCCAGCTCCTGCACGGGGCCGTGATCCCACATTGCCACACAAGTCACGTTAAAGGCCACGGAGCTGGATCCGGCACCGAGCGGCGCGTTGGGAATACACAGAGATCCTGCATCTGCTCGGGAGGTGACAAACCACCCACTCCTGGGAATGCCACGGGACCAAAATTCCCTGTCACTGCCACAGGGGCTGTGCCTGTATGGGCAGGTGGGTTGGGGGGTTTGTCCAGTGGTGCCTCTGGAGAAGGAGCAGGGCCGTGCCAGGGCTGGGGGCTCCAGGGAGGGCTCCAGGCACTGTGGGGGATGGCTGAGGAAGCAGCGTGAGGTTTGTTCATATCCTCCAGGGTTTAATTAACAACGAGCAGTGCTGCCTCCACACTCCTCTAACTCAACATCTGGCCAACTCAAACACAGCTGGACGAGCTCCGTGCTCCCTGCCACAGCCGAGCGGGTACAGGCAGCGGTGATTAAACACGGCAAACACGGCGCAGCTGCTTTCCCAGGGACATGGAATCCTCAGCACCTCCCCCAGCAGGACAGGCTGGGGGCTGAGGGTCTGGCTGGTGCAGGCAGGAGGGGGCTGGAGGCATCCTGGTGATTCCATCAGCAGGGGACACGAAAATCCAGAGCAAGGAGGGACCAGCTGGTGTCCAAGCACACCTGTGGCTCAGGCACAGCCTTGGGGGGTCTCATCCTGCACCCCCAGGGCTGAGCTGTGCTGTCCTGTGGCCTTGCTCTGCCAACGGTGTCCCCAGTCCCTGTGCCTGTTCTGAACAGGGACAAGCACGGGGGTCTGGTGCTGGCTGTGGGGGTCTGGAAGCAGTGGAAGGAGGGGAGATGGGAGCCCAGCCCAGGGCAGGACAGTGCAGTCCATCAGGATGGAGCCACACAGCCCTGGAGGCCCAGGGCACGGGCTGGTCATGGCTCAGTTTGTCACCAGCTCCAGAGTAATTCTTGCAAAAAAATCCAGCTTGGTGTCACTACAAACCCAAGGTGGGAGGGCAGCCCTTCCAAACATCCTCCCCAGCACGGAATCCAGCCCCTCACTCCTGCCTCCCAGCAGAGCCCCCTTCCCCTGAAGCTGTTTCTCCAGAGATCCCCGAGGGGATCTGCCCAAACCCTGCCCCACAGGTGATGAGGGACAGGCAGGCACAGTGCTGTGACAGGGGCAGGGGCTGCTCCACCTTTGCAGCAACAATAGAATCATGGAATATTCGCAACTGGAAGGGACCCACAAGGATCATTAAGTGTGAATCCTGGCTCTGCACAGGACAACCCCAAAATCACACCTAGATAAGGCAGAGGTTCTCAAAAATCCCTCCAGCTCACCTGTACCTGGCTCAGGGCTGTACCAGGACTGTCACAGAGCTGCTGGTGCCACCCGAGCCTCCCTGGGCCATCCAGGCAAACAGGATTGTTCTTGTTACACACGGAGCCTGCTCTGAAATTCCTGCCCACATCTCTCCCAGGAGCAGGGAGTGAGGAGGTGAAGGCGGAGGAAAGCAACTCCTGCTCATCCAAAACATTCACTGTGAAAACATGAGGCTGGAACAAGAGTTGGTGAAACCATTAGAACCAGTTTATTGTCACAGCACAGCACAGAGGTCACAGCCCACTCCCGGCTCTTCCTCCCAAGGAGACCCAGCACAAGCTGTTTGGGGCAGGGATTAGCAGAGGAAGCTGCAGCCAATCTGCTCCAAACTTTCCTGTTAGATCAGTAAATGGCCTCTTCACTGTATTAAGGAATGGAAGGAGCTGCATTAACCCCTTCAGCACCAGCCCTGCTCCCTCTCTGCACCCGCTTCCACCCAGGAGCAGCCACTGGGACCTGGCCCGGCCTCTCTGCAGCTCCCCTGGGGATGGTTGGCTCACATCTCTCCTGCTGCCAGGACGTTCATGAGAAAGCAAACTGGAGCAGAGGCACTGCAGTCCTCCTCCCTCCTCGTCCCTCTCCCCCCTCACCTGTGGCAATGCCAATCCCACGGAACAGGGGTTTCCAGGTCAGATCCCCTTGAGACCTTCCTGGGAGAGCTCAGCTCTCATTCCTACGAATCCAAATTCATTAGGGTCGTGTTAAACAACTCGATGCCAGGCTGGCAATGGGCTGCAGGAGCCTTGAAGGGAAAATGCTGCCCAGAAATGCTCCACCAGCACCGCGCTGGTGAATCCAAGGCTCTCTCTGGTGGGAACAGGCTGCGTTGCAGCACAGCCAGGACTGAGCAGAGAAAATAAATCACCGGGAGCAGAGCAGGACACAGCCTCTCCCCGGGAGGGCTGGGAGCAGGGTCTGGCTGTTCCAGCACTGGCTGGGTGACAGCACAGGCTCTGGGGTCACCCAAACCTCCCCAGCTCCACAGACAGCGGGGGTTTGCCTTTGCTGCACTGTGGGAACATTAATCAGGAGAGAGCAGTGGGATTGGAAACAGGGTGGCTCCAAGGTACTCACTGCATTGAGGACATGAGGAGGACGAGGATGCACTGGCCACTCTTTGGAACATAACGGAAAGGACACAGAGAACACAACTCAGCCCAGAGCTGCTGCTGGCCCAGCACCACAGGGGAGCAGTAGAGTCTCTGGGATCACTTGTTGTCTAGCACCAGATCCCACAACCCAGTGACAATCTCCAAAAGTCTCTAAGGACCCTCTGGTCCTTCTTCTGCTGTCACAGAAATGCAGATTAAGGGTTGTGGTTTCAAGAACGTAATAAATAAAGATCTGCAGTGTCCTGAAGAGCATCTGCAAGCTGGCAGGTGAGCTTGCTTCCAAGAGCAGCTAAATCTGCCCACCACCTGGCCAGGCAGTGTTCCAGACCCTTCATCATCCGTGTGACCTGGTGTCACCCCACTCCACACCGGGCTCCGAGTGTCCTCCGCAGGGTCGGCTGGAGGGGACGGGGCTCCCTCGAGCTACTCCTGGAGCTGAGTCTTTGTTGTGTTGATCTATGAAGCTTCAGGCCTCGTGCCTGGTACAGCACAAGCCTCCCATTCATCCCAGTCTGACCTTCCCGTCTCCGAGCCCGTGAGGAATCGTCCCCCAGGAGCCGACGGTGGGAGCAGAGTCCATCCCAGTCCATCCCAATGTCACAAAGGTGAACTCCCGACGATGGAGCAGAGCCAACGAGGGAGGAATCCTGGCTCTCAACACAGGTAGAAGGTTCCTTGCTGGCATTTCAAGAGATTTCTGCCAGCCCAGTCTCACTCAGCACCGCGGGGCTCCCAGAGCAGGATCTGAACCGTGACCAAGGCCAGCTCTTCACCTCACATGAGATCAGGCCTTTCCCCGACCAGAACCGCTACCAGCAAGTGCAGAGCCAAGCAAACAGGCTGAACTTGGCCCAAATTAAACACCCTCAAGCTGCTTTTACACAAGACAGAACCATTTCCAGCCCGTAGCACGACGTGTCGCTGTCTGCAGGAGCTCAGCCCAACCTACAGCAGGCCAAGGGACACAGCAGCCCATCCACAGACAGAATCAGGAGAGGAAAAGTGAAGGGACAGAGAGGGACAGAGACAACAGGGTGGTCTGGAGGGCTTGTGCTCGCCCAGCCAAGCCCAGCACAAACACCATCGCTCCGAGGGTGGGATTTCCTGGGATTTCAGTCAGAGCAAAGGCAGATTGGCCACCAAAATCAAACCTACAGAGAAAAATTTGGCTTTGGAGGTTTTAGAGTTGCTGTTTAATCCCGAGACAGCGCAGCTGAGTGAGTTTAGAATTTAAGTTACAAAAAAAGAAAGCACTAGAAAATAATCTTGATACAAGAGCGATAATCAGCCGGGTCCCCGCCCTGCGCAGGGAAACCCGCTCCACAATCCACCCAGCACAGCTGGGATGCTGCCAAGGCATTGCCTGTTCCCAGCACACCCTGGGAGGGCAAACTGTCCTCGGTGAAAGTTTCGTGGGGGAATCCCCAGCTCTGGGAGTTAAGACGCTGCCACCAGCTCTGGCTTTGGCCTGTTCTTGACGGGTGACGCTTCTGTGGAGGGAAAAGAAACTTGTTACAGAAACAGAGACTGTAAATACCCTGCAGCCATCTCCTGAGGAGGATCCAGGGCTCAGAATCCATCCTGCAGAACAGCAAACGCTTGCACAGCACCTGAAATAAGAGAAGTTGGTTATAAATAATCCCACGTTCTCAGTATGGCCCTTTCTCACAGCACCTGACAAATTCAAACAGTTTCAGAACACACCCAACCCAGTGAGCCACCAGCCCAACGACACAGATCCAGGGCAGGAGCCTTTTTTAGAGTGCAGGGGTAAGTCCAGCTCTTCCCCTGATCCCTCAGATCTGGCACCACGAGGCTCAGACAGCTGCAGCCACAGGGCCAGGCTGTGTTTTGCTTGGCTCCTGCTGCTGCCACCACACAGCGATGACACCTGAGCCCTGTTTACGAGTAAACAAGCACCAAAGAAACCAGCCCCATTCCCCACATCCCAGACTGCTCCTGGGCAGATTCCACACGGAGGAAATGGCTTCTTCCAGCTCCTGTTTGCACAAGCAGGGAGGTCCAGCTTCTGTGAGTGATGGCTCGGGGTTCTGCTGCCCCAGCAGAAAAGTCTTCACCAGTTTGAGTTTTCAGCATCTCAGCATGGGCAGACATCTGTGTGAGCTCCTTCCTCGCCAGGCAGGGCCACCAGTGCCCATCTGGTCACCTCCTTCACGGGCTCTCTCCCACTTCCCAGCTGAATTCCCACAAAACCCATCATCTGCTGAGGTTTTGCACCATTCAGGAGCAGACGCTCCTGTACCATCAGTTGTGTGCAGCTCGTGCTCCAACAGTCCTGGAGCTGAGGGACTCCAGAGATCCTCACCCAGCTGGTTCCAACCCCCGTGACACAAGGTGAGAAGAGCTACAAGCCCTCAGAAGCCTCTGTGAGATCCCGTGTTGTGCAGGGAGAATCCAATATCCACAAAATAACTGTCCCTGCCTTGTGACGACGTGCAGGGGACCAGTCTGAGTCTTGCCTGGGACAAGCAGGGGAGGAATTCCTCATGGAGCTTCACAATGCAACAAGGTGTCTCAAGGCAGGTGGTTGCCTCAGGGCAGGTACAGAGAAAGGAGGAAACTCCTGGAGGGAATGACCAGATGCTGACGGAACAGAGAGCGGAGCCTCGGGTGCTCTCGGGTGAGGGCTCAGCTGGACCTGCCACACGATGAGGGGGCAGCTGGCACAGCCCACTGAACAGGGCTCACACCAGGGAGCTGGGACTCCTTCCCGTTTCCTGGGACAACACTCACACTGGGAGAGGGTCCCAGACTACTGCGTGGAAGCCAAAGCTGCAGAGAGAGCGTACCTGGGATCTTCTCTGGGAGCGGCTCCGAAGGAACTTCTGGAAGCTCCAACTGTTCCTGCAAGGACGTGAAAGACAACATGTGACACACATCTGGCAGTGGTCACAGCACCTCCTGTATCTCACTTTATCTCCTATTACAACCAACTTCCTGAAAGTGTGGATTTTAATCACAAGAATGTCAATCCTACCTGAGTGATAGTATTTAACTCTTCTAGAATGGCATCTTCATCCTCCTCGGTCAGGCTGCCAGCCAGGAGCTCATCTATTTGCTGTGGGAGAGAGGGAAAGAGTTCATTCTCACTCTGATGGCTCTTAAATAGGGTTGGGAACACAGTGCACATCCAAGGAATTCTGCAGAGCAGGCAGAGCCTGCTCCCAACAGCCATACATACCCTCTGGTACTCCACAGCATCCTGGGTTTCTCCTATTATTCTTTCTACTTCTTCTATGGACATCACCTGAAGGGAAGAGCCAAAGTCCAGGTGTGGGTGAGGCCTGCAGGGAGGCAGCTCCAGCCAAGCCCCTTTTGGGCAAAGGTGCTGAGCTGCCCCAGCCACACGTACCTGGTGCATTTTGTTCAGACACTCGTTGCCTATTTTCAGGCCCTCAATGACCTTCATTTCAATCTGGGTGAATTCAATGTCCTGGACCTGGAATGGAAAGGAGAAAGGGAAGACCCTGCCACACTTTGGCCAGGCACTGGCACAGGCTGCTCAGGGCAGGGGGGAGTCCCCATTCCTGGGGGAATTTAACAGCCGTGTGGATGTGGCACTTGGGGACAGTGGTGGCCTTGGCAGTGCTGGGGGACAGTTGGGCTCGATGGTCTCAGGGGGCTTTTCCAGCCAAGGTGATTCCATGATTCTGTGGTCCCCATCAGCCAGACACAGGCTGCTGGGACCCCAGAGAAGCTGCAAAGAATCCTCTGTACACCAGCAGTGAGAAATATCCACACAAAAAGCTCAGCACAAGCAGCTCCACGAGCACGTCCAGCAGCCCTTGAACTGATTTCACCACATTTTCCAGCTGCCAGTCTCAGCTGAGGCCTCCCCAAACCCAAACATATCCAGTTCTGAAATTATAGTTCTGAGACAAGCCCAAGGAAGTCTCCAGTGAAGCCACTCACACTGTGAGTAACGTTTTAGTAATTTACAAAACAGTATTTAACACGTAACCTGCCCCACAGAGTCCAAACACACGCTCACCCCTCTGCCTCTGTAAGGAACAGTCATGGCACATGTACAATTCTGGAGACACCTGTCCTTGGACAGAGGGCTAAAGCCCTGTCAGGACTGGCAGTTGAAATGGAATTCCACAGGATCCAGGGGAGTGCCCACCCAGGAGCACAGACCAAGGCCCCCCCAGTGACCATCCCTCTCTCACCATCCGCTCCAGGTTGCTGATCTGGTTCTCTGTTTTATCCAGGAGTTGCTCCTGGTATCGTTTCTTCTTCAGCAGCAGCATGGCTTTCCTGGGGGATAGGGAGGGAGGAAAACTCAGCACAGCTGAAACCAAATAAAGGCCAAAAGAACCCCAACAAAAAACCATGTTTGTTCTGTGCAACTTAAGCCACGTGCAGTGTAACTGGGCTACTCCTGTGAAGAGCAAGGATGAGCAAACTGTGTGCCAGGGAGAAATTCTTGGCTGGGAGGGTGGGAGGCCCTGGCACAGGTTGCCCAGAGAAGCTGTGGCTGCCCCATCCCTGGAAGCGTCCAAGGCCAGGTTGGACGGGGCTTGGAGCAACCTGGGCTAGTGGGAGGTGGGTGGGGTGGGACTGGATGAGCTTTAAGGCCCCTTCCAACCCAAACCATTCCATGATTCTGACTCCAGCGAGGTTTCCTTCCCAGGGACACCCTGTACTGGGCACTGACGCTCCCCCGGCCCTCGCCCCCCCGGTGACCCTTCCCCCCTCACTCTTTCTTGCCATCCTTGAGCAGCTGCCGGGCCAGCGCCCGCTCCCGCTCCAGGCCCAGGCTCAGCCTCTTCTGGTACTGCCGCAGCTTGTCCCGCTGCTGCTTCAGTTGCTGCAGAGGAGAGGGGCGGACAAGGGGATGGACAGAGGGACGGACAGAGGGACGGACACGGGTCACAGCTCGAGCCCTGGCGGTTCCAGCAGCCCCCGAACCAGCGCCGGCCCCGCCGCCCTCCCACCCGGGCTCTCCCCGGCGGCACCAGCACCGGGGGTGGCTCAGCCCCGGCCTCGCCTCCTCCACGGCCGCGGAGACCCGGCAAACGCCACGGGGAGGGGACCGGGACCGGGACAGCACCAGCACGGCCCGGTCCCGCCCCGTCCCCGGTTATCCCCTCTGTCACCAGCACGGCCCGGTCCCGCCCCGTTGCCCCCTCTCTCACCAGCACGGCCCGGTCCTGCTCCGTGACGCGGCTCCGCCGTTTCCGCCCGAACAGGTTCCCCATGGCCGCTCCAGCCCCGGCCCGGCCCGGCCCCGCCCCCGACGGCGGCCGCGAGGGGCCCGGCCCCGCACAACGCGCAGCGGCGGCGGAACGGCGGCGCTGGGGGGCGCTGTGGGAACGGGCGGGAACGGGGATACCGGGAATGGGATATGGGATACAGGGAACGGGGATATGGGATA